TGGGTCCGACTCAATGGTACATAACAACAACAACAATAACAACAATCATAAAATGGGCAAAAATCTTGAATAGTTATTTCACCAAAGAAGAGATTCGAATTGCCACCAAACACATGAAGAGGTGCTCTCTGTCGTTAGTCATCAAAGAGATGCAAATCAAAACCCACTAGAATGGCTAAGATTTAAAAACAACAGATGTTGGTAGGAATGTGGGGAAATTGAAACCCATTGCTGGTGGGAGTGCAAAATGGTACTGTGGAAAACAGTGTGGCAGTTCCTCAAAAAGCTACAAGTAGAACTACCATATAACCCAGCAATTCCACTCCTAGGTATATACCCAAAAAACTTAGAAACAGAATAAAAGAGACTTGTACAGCAGTGTTCATTGCAGCACCTTCACCATAGCCAAAAGGTGGAAACAACCTAAATTTCCATCAACAGGTTAATGAATAAGCAAAATGTGGTAAATACATACAATGGAATGCCACTCAGCCAGTAGGAAAAGTGAAGTCTTATTACATGCTACAATTTGGATGGAGTTTGAAGACATTTAAGCCCATCATAAAAGGATAAGTAATATATGATCTCACTTATATAAAAAGACAAGAAAAGGCAAATGTATGGAGACCAAAGTTTATTAGTTACCACGGATGAGAGGGAGGGAGGAAAAGAGGAGTTAATAGTGATGGAAAAACTGGATTGATTAAGGGTAGAGTTGCACAGCTGATTATTGTAATTGCTGTCAATAAGTTGTATGCCTGTAAAAAGTTGAATTGTCAAAAGTAGTATAATAGATATATTTCCAGTAATTGAAAAGGCAAAAGTAGCTGCTGAGGCTACTTACATACAAGCAGACACCACATGGGATTTTATTACTTGATTTGGAAGTTTCGGACCATAGTTTCATGGGACATCTCAGTTAATTGGCCTAACAATATGTTTAGTACCTCTTTTCTACCTCCTAGTTCATTTCCTACTACATGGAGTCTTGAAAGCTTGCAGGTGACCCTATAAGGTACCTGGAACAACAGAGGAAAAAGAGGAGGATATGGCATGCATGGCTGGTTGCCTCCATGAACAACTTCCTCCTCTGCCACGAGATGAGAAGAACTGGATGGTGCCTAGAGCTACCATTACTGAACATTTTGATCAAAGACTGTAGAAGAATTATGATTAAATGGTGAAAAAATGAACAGAATTTCAAATTCTCATTGACTCTAGACTTCTGGAGGGTGGCTGAACCCCTGAAACTATTGCCCTGAGATAATTTTTAAACCTTAAACCAAAAATATCCCCCAAAGTCTTCCTAAAACTGAACTATTATTTAGCTTAACTAGTGAAAAAGGTCTGCCTTTTAGCATTGTGCTCTTTTAAGAGCACTCTACATGGAATCCAATTGACAATAGCAACTTGAAAGACTAGATAGGAACCTTAGTGGGCAGTGAGGTTATGTTAATGAGGAAAGAGCAAATCAGAAAAGAAGGGTGAGAATAGTTGCATAACTCAAAGAATGTAATCAAGGTCACTGAATTGTACATGTAGAAACTTGAATTGGTGTATGCTTTGCTGCATATATTCTCAACAACAACAAAATAAAAAACTTTAAAGGAGAAAAAAATTCTGGAGATCACTTGACATGTATCAAAAACCTTAAGTACACATCCTTTCCACTTGTAGAAAGTTATCCTAAGGAAATTGTCATGGTGGTGCACAGTATATAATGCTTGAAAAAATTGTGAAGAAATTAAGTACCTAACAACATAAAACAAAAAAACCAAACCAAACTCACTACCATCAAGTCAATTCCAACTCATAACAATCCCCACTGGGTTTCTGAGGTAGTAAATCTTTATGGAAGTAGATTGTCCCATTTTCCTTCCACAGAGCAGCTGGTGGGTTTGACTGTGGTTAGCAGTCAAATGCCTTAGGCACTACACCACCAGAACTCCTTACCTGACATCATAGGGTCAGTTAAATAAATTGATGTCCATATGATGAAATATTTTTCAGCTAATAGAAATTATATAAGACATGTAGAATATGGATAATGTAGAGATGATTCATTTTTTTATTAAAAAGTATATATTGTACAAAGGAATAAAGATATTACCACACTGTAACAGTGATGTTCCCTGGGTTGTGGGGTTAAGGAGTTTTTATTTTCTTTGTAATTTTCTGTACGTTCCAACCTTTCCACAATTAAAAAATACTCCTCCATGGCAGAGGTTACCGGTGAAAGATGCTGCCAAGATACCAATTCGATGAAGACTAGTGTTTCTTGGATTTGGAGATTAAAAGTCGTCAGGTCTTTGCCAGAATGATTGATTCCATTAGAGTGATAAGGATTGAAGTGTGAGTAGGGTGAGGGGTAGAGTAGAGATAGCTGGTGTAGGGGATAATGTAAAGAGCTTGGCTGGCTACAGAGGGGTGCAGAAAACAGCAAAAGTGGAAGTCATCAGTTCTAGTCCAAGCCCTGCCACATCTGTGAGTGCTTCAGTTCCTTTCTTTGTAGAACAAGGATGGTGACAGGCCTGCTGATGACAATCAAATCCTGTTTTATGTGTGATGTTTGTTGTTATTGTTGTGTGCCGTCGATAACACTGTGTAAATTGTACACTGCATGGGGAGTGTGACACTGTGATAACGTTATTACAGAGAACCCTCTGCCACCGAGTCATTTCCACCAACCCCCATTGGGTTTCTAAGGCTGTAAATCTTCATGGAAGGAGATTGTGCCTCTTCCTTCCACAGAGCAGCTGGCGGGTTTCAACCATAGACCTTCTGGTTAGCTGCCAAATTCCTTAACCACTACACTACCAGAGCTCCATTGTTACAGAGTCCTCTCTAAAACACTAAAAATGTCACTGCTCTCAACTAAGTTGCCATTTCCGTCTTCCTCTTGTATTACTGTTGTTTTTTTCCTGGCAGAGTTTGTCCAGAAGTGAACTGTTAAATGTTTACCAGGTTTAAACCACAATTTGAAGTTCTCTATGGCTTAGGGAAGAACTCTGGTGGCACAGCAGTTAAGTGCTCAGTTGCTATCCGAAAGGTCAGTGGTTTGAACCCACCAACCGCTTCTCAGGAGAAAGATGAGGCACCCTGCTTCTGCAAAGATTTACAGCCTTGGTAACCCTATGGGGCAAGTTCTGCTCTGTCCTGTTGGGTCTCTATGAGCCGAAATCAACTAGACAGCAATAGGTTTGGGTTTTCTCTTTTTTTTTTTTATTTATGGCTTTGGGCTATAAACAATTCTTCTGAGGTGTATGATTCCTCAGCTGAGTGAATGATTTTCATTCATGAGTATATCTTGGTGCCTACTGTGTGCCCACTGTTGTGCTGGACACTAGTAAACACAAGATAATTAGTAAAAGTCATGATTTCACAGTTATCAATGATGTGACATCATACTGAATTAAGTACCCAGGTTAGACTCATTAGTGTAGATGTGAAGGAAAGTGCTGTAGTCTAAAGAATGGATGAAAAGAAAATTTACAGCCAAGGAAGGAGCCTGGAGTTAGGAATTGAGAAGGAAGGAAGCACTGATTGCCTAAGGAAACAGCTTAGTGTTTCGGGAACCATTACACCATAGACTGTTGGATAAGAAGGACTCTTAGAGATCATTCACCCCAAGATCACCTCTAGTGACCCTGAGGAAACTGAAGCTCAGAGCAGAAAGGATCCTGCTTGATGGCAAAGCCTGGTCTAGAACGCAGAAGCTTTGATGGCCAAGTTAGCACTCTTCATCTGATGCTTTATGTCATGTCAACATAATACATTGGGAAAACTTTGACTTTTATTTAAAAACTTAGAACCACTCTACCTGGACACCCATGCTATCTGAGTCTACCAAGATTTTTCTAATTCCTGAGGACATACGGGGTAGGGCAGAAGAGAGAGAGAGAGAACAATTATTTGGTATCTTCTAAATTTGTTTTCCAGCAGCTCCATAGAAAGGCCTGGCAACCTGCTTCTATAAAGATTACTGCCTGTGGAGCAGTTCTGCTCTGTCACCTGGGATCGCTGTGGGTCAAAATCGACTCGACAGCACCTGACAACAGTAGATGCTAACAACTGGTCATTTTAAGATGGTCCAGGAGCCTAGAGAGTTGTTGCAGAATAACATCTTTTGGTGAAAAATAATCTAAGGAAAGAACATATTCCAGCAGGAATTATTTCTTTTAAATTAATAGTGGCTTTTACATTTAACATTTGTGTTGACTTTACTTGGTGTCTTCTTACTAAGTTCTGGTATTTATAGATCCAGAAAGCCATGGATGCCACCTCTTGGCCTGTAGTGCTGTTTCCACATTTCATTCTATCATGATGTTCCTGTCCTACTTGGCAGTTGCCCTTTTCAACTACTTACTGCCTTCACTTTCCGACTAAACAATTTCTCCTGGGCAAGTTTTGTGCATGGTCTTGGTCTTTCTCTTTCTCTCTCTTCACATGTTTACTTCTTAATGATTCTATCCTAATGTGTTTACTGCCTTGAGTTCCTTGACCCTTGATACGATTGTTATTGACAGAATTAAAATAGAAGAGTCTGAACAATGTTGATTTCTATGATTTGTTTTTTTCCACTATTTCATTGTCATGTATCCTGCAAAAGCTGAGCAAAAAGTACACATGTACTATGAGAGAGAAAAGAGGGGTTTTGATTTAATTTCAGAGGTTTGTGAACTGCTGCATCTGGTTGAGTTTGATCAGTTACAAAGTGCTTACCCCAGATGACAGTGGCAAAGCAAGATCACGACAACAGAATGGCATGGGACTTTGTACACAAGAAGGTCTTCATTAAGACTTGCACCAAACCAAATGTGTCTACCATGGATAAGAACCATAACAAGGCTGACTTTATCTCTTATTTTTAAAGAATCCACAGATGTTATTAAACTTGTAACTTATATAACTGTTATCATGGGGTTAAGCAGCTATATGACAAAGATCTATTTGTCTAGATTAATTGACATTGTATATGTGTATATTTGTTCCCATTTTAGCACGAGGTAGGACCAACATCGAACTTAGAGAGAAATTCATCCTACCTGAGGGGGCGTCTCAGGGAATGACCCCTTTCCGCTCACGTGGTCGACGATCCAAACCATCTTCCCGGGCAGCTTCTCCTACCCGCTCAAGCTCAAGTGCTAGTCAGAGTAACCATAGTTGTACTTCCATGCCATCTTCTCCAGCCACCCCAGCCAGTAGCACCAAGGTATGTCCTGACCTCCATCATGGCCTCTTTCCCTGGTTCCCTTTTTGCAGAGCCGTCTACCCGTTGTTCAGTGTAGACTCTGAAAGACTCCACTGAGGAGAGGACCGTGAAGACATACAGACCAAGCTCTGCCTAGACAAAGATACAGATAGATGACCTTTAAGATGACTGCAAAGGACATTTATTAAAATACATACTCGTGCTAGTTAGAATCAGAAATGTGTCTTTCAACATTTTCTATCCAGAGTTACTAATTTTGAAAATCCAGGCACTATCTCTGCAGCTGGGGCTAACAGATAAGTTTGTTGTCACCACAGATATGTATGAAAAACAACATTGCCTTTCTGCCTGATTGCTTTTATCCTGTTGGACTGATGAGCATTTATTTTGCTTTCTGTTTCTTTAAAATGTAGTGTATTTATTTTTCTTTTCCCGATTTGCTCCCTTTTTGTTCCATTTCCATTTGTTCCCATCCTTCCCTTTGGATTTCCATTTCACAGACTCCACTTCAGTTCTCTCGCTGTTATGACAAACCCTGGCTGGTAAACAGTAAAGCTGGCACCCCTGTCAGGGACAGCTATTATCCTGACCTCAAGCTGCCCAGCCCTGAGGTAGAGTATGGCTTTGGTGACTAAGGACACAGTAAAGGCAAGGCCCTTGCTAATGCCAACAACTTGACCAGCTATTCTTCCTGACACCAGGCTGCTCTTTTCCATCTTTGTGGTGCTTGCTCTCACAGCTGATTCATCTAGTCAGGTGTTTCTCAGGGGTTTCTAACTCGGAGTCACCAAAATTGGAGATAAGTAAGAGATGCCTAAAACTAGATAGAAACAACTTTTTAACAGTCTTTAGAATGATACTTGTTCAGGATGATAAACCATTGTAATTCCTGGTGATTTGTTTAAAATCAGGCCTCTTGGAGTCTCCAAATGTCCGACACATGGACGAGTTAGTAACTCTTGAAATTGAATTACAATGCATGTTCCACAGTGTTCTGTCTTTGCTTAGAACAAAAGAGTGGTTGGTGCCTCCCATCCTGAGATACCCCCAGGCTGGTTGGTATTACCACACTGGTCTGAGGCACGGGTGCTGTCTCCTCAACCAACCACACTGTCAATGAACACTGCTCTGGGGCTCAGATTTTAGCTTCTAAATTCCTTGGCCTGGGCACTTGGGTTTCGGGAGTCTTGATGTGAATACGCATGCCCACAATTAAGCGTAGTCACTAATAACAGTTAGTCATTAAAACACCTTTTAAAACACTTCTGGAAGAGCAGTGTTTTTAGAAATGAAAAGGGACTCGCAACTTGCCTAACTGCAGTAAATGTATACTCTAGCTCCTTCTGGGAAACACTGTCAAAAGACTGTATTGCCTATAGTTCTGTAAAGTTTCAGCCAGGTAAACCGAGGAGGTACAAAATGCCAGTGCCGAAGAGTGAACTGCTGCTTTGGGATCTGTCTTGCTCTAAGCTAAAATCCAGTAGAGAAATATATCTGGTTTAGGACATGATCTGGGAACCTACTGCCAAGAAAACCCTAAGACTCCACCTGCTGACCTTGCTGTTCTTCTTTCCAAGTGGCTCCAGTTTTGTAAAAGTCTGAAAAGCTCTATCATTTTAAATGTTTTAACTATGAGTCACAAATTCTCATGATTCTGATGGGTCAGGGTTTTTTGGTTTTGTCTTAAGTTTTTACTTTGTTTTGTTTCATTTTGGGGTTTCATCTTTCCTTACTCATTGGTGTTCTAAAGTTGGGCCGTGTATCCAGCCCAGGGTCTTGGGGGCTGCAGTCTTCCCGCAGTAGTGCCCACACGGTAGCTTCTGAAACCGCTGCTCTTCCTCCTGGGGGGCCAGGAGGGTTTGTGCTTGAATGTTAATCACTCTGTCGCTTTTGCCCTCTCTTTATAAATTAAAGAAGTACAGGAAACTTCATGCTTTCTTCTCCTATTTATATAAACATCTTAAAGGTCTTGGAAAACAATTTATACAATTGATTGCAGAAAAAAATGAGAATAGCATGTTGCAGCATGAATAATACTTAAAAGAGATTTGGAATATTTTTTCCTCCTCCAAGTTACCTGTCTAAATGGTCCCGCTTATAAGTAACAATAATAATAATGTATATCTGGGACATTCTACTCTGTCCTTTGGTGTCGCCATGAATTGGAATCGACTCATCAGCAATAGGTTTGGCTTTGGTTTCTTTATCCAGCTCTTTTTCAGTTTAGGAAGTACTTCTGCACATCATTTATTCATTCAGCAAGTTTTTATTGAGCACCTCTTCTGTGCCAGAATGTGTTAGTGAGCAAAACAAAGTCCCTGCTTTTGTGGAGTTTATGCTTTAATGTGGGAGAGACAGACAACAAACAAGTACCTCGTGGTGATAAGTACTATACAACAGAAGTGAAACAAAGAGAAGAGAAAGTTAAACATGGTATTATTTTAGATTAGGTAGTGAGACACGACTTCTTTGGCTTATCAGCAAAGCTACCTAGAGGAAATGAGGGGGTGAGCCACACAGATAAGGGGTAGGGACGTCCAGGCAAGGGGAGCTGAAAGGAGAAGCCTGAAGAGAGAGCCACCTTGGGCTGTGGGAGAAATAGCAAGGATGCCAGTGTGGCTGGGACAAAATGAGCAAGAGGAAGTATGGTAGGAGATGAGCTTAGAGAGGCAGAACTTAACTATTTCTTGAGGGCAAAGTAAAGACTGAGGTGTTAATTTAGACAAGTCATAGAGCCCAGACTCATCCCTAGGTCTTGGGGCTGGCTCTACCTTCAGAGGCTTGTCCCCTACACCACAGCCCCCCTCACATGTACTTCTCATAATTATTTATCTGGTCCACAGACAAGTAATTTTATTTGCATTTTACAATGAGGAAACAGGGCTGAAAGATCTTAATTTGACTCAAGTTACTACATCTACATAGGGTTGGAGATTGGTGTATTATTCGATCTCCACATTTAACTATTTGGAAGCAACCCCGAGATTTCAAACCCTAAAACTAGGGTACAGAGCATTACTTGGATTCTTTAAATTACTCAGGTGCCATATTTCTTTTCATTATGACTATTGCATTCTTACAATTTGAGGACTTTTTTTCCATTTCTAGTGAAAAAGGTTTTGGAAGATGTTTTGAAAGTTTAAAACAGAAAATCCTTACTTTGAGAATCATCAAAATACATGAACTGGAACACATTCAAATTAAATCATTGTTTTCCTGGACTTTTAATTTGCTTTTCAGTTATTTAGACATAGAGTGGCTTAAGAACAAACACCTTTTAAAATTGAATTTCTATCAAAAGACTTTGCCAAGTAAATATGACCTTTTTATTTTTTTTAAGGTTATTCCATCAACAGGCAGCAAGTTGAAACGACCAACACCAACTTTTCACTCTAGTCGAACATCCCTTGCTGGTGATACCAGCAATAGTTCTTCCCCAGCCTCCACAGGTGCCAAGAGTAATCGAGCAGGTAGGTACCTTCCCAGAACCTACGCATCAGGGTGGGATAAGAGGCAATGGCCAGGCTAGGAACTCAGGAACAATAGCCTATCAGAGATATTTTACCTACTCCCCAAGGAGCAAATAATGAAACACTAGCACTTAGATGTGATACCCAGAGACACCGACAGATAATCTGGTGGCCTTCTACTTTCTCTTACCACTATAATAAGCTCTAACCTTGTCATCTGAGGACAGATTCTTCCACAGCCACAACTAAAATCACCTGTCCTTGATCAGAAATTATCATATTTGAAAGAATGTGAAGGGAATAAAAAGCCTTCTGGCAGTTGACTAGTAACCTTTCCAGCAACATCCCATATTTATTACCCCTCAAATGGGCTGAAACGGGGGAAGCTTGTGGCTGTCCACCGCTGATGTTCCTCATGGGAACCTAGAAGTGTAGCTTTACTCCCTGGCTCTGGTTCCTGTTGCTGCAGCCCTGTTCTGAGCCTGCCCATGCATTACCCCAGCGAGTGCCACTCTCATCTGTGCTGATGCGATTCAGCAGCCCCATGTGAATCCGTCTGGGGGCATGTCAGCTAACAGTGCTGCTGATGGAACTTATTTTTGATATGAAGGAGGGGAGCCAGACTTCTCAAGGAGAACCATAAAGCCAGAAAAGGGCTCCCCATAGAATCACAGAGCAGCCACCATGTAGATGAGAAACCCAGTGTCCAAGGTCACATAGCATATCAGATTAATAGGATCAAAACCTTGGCCTCTGGTCACTTGTTCTTCCTGTGCTGTCTCTATATTAAGTGTGCTGCTTTATTCTTGAATTTCAGACCCTAAAAAGTCAGCGAGTCGCCCCGGGAGTCGGGCTGGGAGTCGAGCCGGAAGTCGAGCCAGCAGCCGGCGAGGAAGTGATGCTTCTGACTTTGACCTTTTAGAAACACAGTCTGCCTGTTCTGACACTTCAGAAAGTAGCACTGCAGGTGGCCAGGGCAACTCCAGGAGAGGGCCAAACAAACCTTCCAAAATCCCAACCATGTCTAAGAAAACCACCACTGCCTCCCCCAGGACTCCAGGTCCCAAGCGATAACACTGTACAAGCACCCCTGAAGCCTCTGTCCACTTTGAATTCTGCTCTATATGTTGGGTGTATATTTATTCTGAATGGGAGAAGTTATATTGTTAAAAGTGTAAGAGAATAATTGTGTTATGAAGCTGCCTTATTTTTTTTTCCCCCTTTTTTGTAAGTTACTATTTTCATGTGAATATTTATGTAGATAAAATTTGCCTCCTGGTAACCCTGTAATGATAGGGCCCAGAAACGAAATATTTGAGAAAAACACATGAAAAGGTCAAGATGCAAATGTGTATTAAGAAAAGTGTCTAAATAGGGTTGCTGCGCGGTGCAGGGTTATAAACCTGCTTTATCTTTTAGGATTATTCCTAAATGCATCTTCTTTATAAACTTGACTTGCTATCTCAGCAAGATAAATTATATTAAAAAAAAAATAAGAATCTTGCAGTGTTTAAGGAACTCTTTTTTTGTAAATCACAGACCTCAAATCGGCAAGAACTAAGGGGAGGGCACTTATAACTGCTTTTTCCATTGTTTTTAACGTTGTGTGATTTTAGCTGAAGAGAGGGAACCTCATCTAGTAACATTTGCACATAATAAGCAAAAGAAGTTCATTGCAATACTGTCTCTGAGTACTGTCTCAATACTGGGTGTTTAAAGGACAAATAGCTGCTAGAATTCAGGGGTAAATGTAACTGTTCAGAAAATGTCAGAACATTGGGGTTTTTAAGAGTCATGTGATTCCCTATCCAGCCTAGCCACCAATACCTCCTGTGCTCTTTGGGACCCAGGCCCTTGGCAAAGGGAGGCTCCTTGGTGATGGTGTGTATTATAGATTTGTTGATCTGCACTTTTTGCTCTTCATTTAAATGGTCGATCAACTTCTCACAGACAGAGGAATTCCATGAACTTACCCTGAAAATGTGGACATAAGACAAAAACGCTTGTCCTTTAAAGGACTTCACCAGCACACCTGTTCACAAGTCCCGTTTGCTTCCGTCTTCTTTTGTGCGTAATAAAGTCAACTGACCAAGTGACCATGAAGAGGGGCTGTCTGGGGCTCCTGTTTTTTAGCTGCTGTTCCTCTTCAGCTCTGACCACGTTGCTGTGTGATTATCTCAATTGGTTTTAATTGAGGCAGAAACTGAAGCTCTACCAATGAACTGTTTAAAAACAAGACACTTTTGTATTAAAATTGCTTGCAGTAACAAATGTTTTGTATTTCCTGATTTTCTTCTCAGTCATCACCTTATATATAACATGTTACTCTTGGGTATAATTGTGTTGTAAGTCTTAAATACATGATTCAAATCAAAATACCTTGATGGATAAATTACAGAGCTCATTAATAGTTTTTTTTTCCTTGTTTACAAAATTAACAAGGCAACAATCAGGATACTGTTAACATTAATACTTCTGTGATTAAACAAATACCAACGTGTAAGAAGACATTAAAAAATATAATTAAGAAGATACTTAAAAACATAGAGATCTAGGGGTTCGATAGAATGGAGCCAGTTTCTTACGGTACCCTGAAATTTCTGGTTAAATCCTACAACAATTTCAGAAATGGTAATGTTGGAAGCAAAACTGCTCATCAAATCTAGCTTTTTTGTTTTATGGATGGAGAAACTGAGATGGGTAAGTGATATGCCTGCAGTCACAGAATAAACAGCAGAAGTGGACCATGAATGCAATCCTTGCCTCCCTGTTCAAGTGTGGCCCTTCTGTTTCCTCCAGCCCCTAACATAATTGACTTTATAACAATCCCAGTCCAGTTGGTGTCTAATTGATGCCTACTCAAGGTGACCGCATATGTGTCATAATAGAAGTGTTTTCAAGGGATGGTTTTTTGAAAGTACATTGCCAAACCTTTCCACCAAGGCACCTCTGGGTGCACTCATAGCTCCAACCATGTGGTTAGCAGGCAAGCATATCAATTGTTTGTACCATCTAGTGACTCTTACTTAAAACAATCACAGCAGCCAAATACGAACGAATCCTAACAACCTGATGAGGTAGGAATTATTCTACAGATAAGAGTATGTGCTAGAGTGCTTGCGATAATCTCTTAAGATGGATGCAAATCCAGGCCACCTTGTGTGCTTGACAGTACTCCTGTGGGCATTTGGTAAGATCAGTACATGTTTGCCAAAGCCATTTGAAGCCAAATATCCAGATTACAAAGAATTTGCAGTAGGATGGATTTTGATGGAAAAATTGGGTAACTTCCCAGCTGCCAGAACTTTGTAGGGTTCTATTTACACCCAAATTTTCTATCCCCACTAGGCCAGATAGCAGTGCCATCTTTTCAGAGTCTACAGTCACTTTCTTACCAAGTGTCTTTATTTCTTAAAGCTGCATAACAAAGGAGCTGTGGTGGCATAGTTGTTACAGTATTTGTTAACCAAAAGGGTGGTGGTTCTCCACAGGAGAAAGATGAGGTAATCTGTTTCCATAAAGATTTACAGCCTTGGAAACACTGTGGGGCAGATCTGCTCTGTCCTGTAAGGTCACTATGAGTTGGAATTGATCCAATGGGAGTGCAGTTGGGGGCCATAACAAAAATACCACATGTGAATGGTTTTAAAGGACAAATGTATTTTAGTTCTGAACCCCTCAAACTCCACATCAGGGTCTCGGCTGTGTCACTGCCTTCTGTGGGCCTCTTCTAGTTTCTGATGGCTGCTGTAGTCTTTGATGTTCCTTTGCTGCTTATAGATGCATGCATCTGCTTCCTTTATCACATGGCATCTCCTCCTGTGTGTGTTTGTCCAGTCTTAGGAAAAAACACTCAGAAGAGATTGGGACCCACTCTGCTCCAGTATGACCTTATTAATATAACACAGGAAAACCTCTATTTCCAAACAGGTCATATTTACAGGTATAGGAGTTAGGACTTCAATGTAACTTTTTTAGAGACAATGCATAATCAAGTTGTCCCTCAGTCTTTGTGACAAAGCTCAGTTGGTGGGACTTGCAGAAAGTTTATATACGTTCAGCAGACACTAATGTGCAAAACCATGTGGGAATGCCCAACCAAACCAAACCAAACTCACTGCCGTTGACTTGGGTCAGACTTGGCGACCCCTCTTTGGGTTTCCGAGGCAGTATCACTATGGAAGTAGATTGCCCAACCTTCCTTCCAAGGAGTAACTGGTGGATTTGAACCACCAGCCTTCTCTTTAGTAGTCAGATGCCTTAGGCACTACGCCACCAGAGCTCCCACAAGGAGTTTATGGTCTACCCAGAAAACAAATTAATAACTATTACAGGCTGTGATAAAAATGCTCAGGAAGGACTGCAAAACCTCTGCTAGGGTACAGGATCAACTTGAGTTCCTTATTTGAAAATAAGGAGCCCTGGTGGTACAATGGTTAAGTGCTTGGCTGCTAACTGGAAGTAAGTGATTTAAACCCACCAAGTGGCTCCACAGAAAAGAACTGATGATGTGATCTCATAAAGATTACAGCCTAGGAAACTCTGGGGGTGTTCTCTGTCCTATAGGGCCACTGTGAGTCAGAATTGACTTGTTAGCACAAAACAACAAAGCTTTGAAAAGGAGCCCTGGTGGTGCAGTGGTTAAGTGCTCACCACTAACCAAAGGTCACTGGTTCAAATGTACCAACCCTCCATGGGAGTGGAAAAAAGACCTAGCAATGTGCTCCTATGAAGACTGCGGCCTGGGAAACCCTGTGGGGCAATCTACTCTATCCTATAAAGTCTGTATGAATCCAAATCAGTGACACATAACAAGGGCTTTGAGTGATGCAATAATAACAATCGCTAACATTCACTGAGTGCTAAGTGCTCTGTGTACATCTAACACCAATCTTGGTCCTGTTACTGTGAGCTCCACTTTATAGATGATAAACTGAGCAGAAGGTTAAGTAATATGGTTACCATCACAGAGTTGCCAGGTGCCTGGGGATAGCCCTTGTTTCGAAACTACTTTCTCCAAGAAACATTCCCCACCTCAGTTCCTTTCCGTTCTGGTGTTCCAGGATTCCGTGGCCTGCTTCCACTTCCTGGGTCCTTCCTCTGCCCTTCCAGGCACTTTGTTAGACCCTCTGTCAGAGCATAGCTTTCACTCTGCCTTTTGAACTAACTGTTTTACAACTGTCATCCATTAGAGAGGGAGCCACGCAGGCTGGGGACATTATCTGCTTCATCTTTGGCTCAGGGTACAGCACAGGGCAGCCCACAGTTGTTGCTGGATTGACTTGTGATGCTGAGGCCCTTTGAAATGGCTAAAACCTCTGTTTAGGTTCATGGGAATGTGAGGCTGGTTGTTTAAAGAACACAGTCGTCCCCACTCAACCTAAATCGAGATAAGTGATTTTTGTAATTGCAACAATCAGTCCCAGCTTGCTGTCTAGCTGCTTGCCGTCTAGTTGGGACCCCAGCATTGCACAATAAGCAACCTGAGAGTCACGGCGCGCTCTGGGCCCTCAGTGAATGCTGGCTCGAAAGGGAACGCAGGGGGATGTCCTGGGTGCAGAGGACAGTGAAGGGCGGTGGCAGACAGAGATTCAAGAGCCCCTGACCAAGCCTGACATGGGGACTCTGTCCTCTGCTTCTACCTGCTGTCAGTCACCAGCCCTGTGGATCCAGCCTCCTAAACAGCATTCTCCTCTCCTGCCACACTGTCCCCACAGCCACTGGCCCTCCTAACCCCTCCCCTCGTTACTGCTACAGCCTCCAACTGTCAAGCCCTGATTCCAGTCTCTCATCCTCCCATCCATAATCCCTCCTGGATCCAAACTCTGATCTAACTCAGGCACTTTCAATGGCTAATCAGCACTACCCTTAGGATACAGTATGTTCAGTATCTTTAGGGGGCTTAAATGCAGTATGGAAATTACCTGTTGTGCTTAAGGCATCAGCAAATGACTATTTGGGTTTACATTTTTTATTATTCCTTCTGCCTGGAACACTCCCCGCCCAATGATCTCTCCTCCCTGTTGCAGGCCAATGCCTTCTGGCCCTCAGAGCTCAGCCCAGGTGTCACTTCCTCCCAGCACAACCACCTTATCAAAACCCAAACCAAACCCACGGCCATAGGCCATTGAGTCTATTCTGACTCATAGCGACATTTTAGGACAGAATAGAACTGCCCCATAGGATTTCCAAAGCTGTAAATCTTACAGAAGCAGACTGCCTCATCTTTCACCAGAGGAGTGGCTAGTGGGTTTGCACTATTGACACTATTAACAACCAAATGCTTTAACCAGTGCATCACAACCAGAAGGCATTAATATAGTTAGGTCTTGATTAACCGTGGGGTTCCGTTCCAAAGACTCCGTTGTAAGTTGGTTCTAATGTAAATCATAACTCAAATGCCTTTTTTTTTTTTTT